ATACATATTTATTATATATATATATATATATGTATAATACATATTATATATATATATATATATATATGACTGTGCTCAGTCAATACTACCGGGACTATATTTGGGACCAGAAATGGCTGGATTTTGCGACTACAGACACCATATAATACACGAATTAGTAGTTGGAGAAGGTCTCGTTTTGCGACACAAAAGGAAGCTAACGTATTTGAATATACCGATTCACGATCACCCAATCACGCCTATACTGCCCTACTTAAATGAATGCATCCAGTTTATAGAGGGCGTGTTAGATAAAAAAGGGACAGGGACAGGTAGTTGTGTACTTGTACATTGTTACGCGGGCATATCACGTAGTGCGTCTGTGGTTGCATACTATGTGACGAAGAATCGTCGGTGTACATTTACTGAGGCGGATGCGTATGTGAGGGGCAAGAGACCGGTGATCGTCATTAAACCCCATCTCCGCAAAGATATACTGGCCTTTGCAGAGCAAGGTTTTCAGCCCAGAGTGGACGAGATAACCGATGTTTTGGACTGATTAATATACACGGCAGTAGTTGACACCTACAAATATTGTTTATTATCGATATACGGTAAATAGTTTGTTTCTCTTTTCATGGTTCTTATTTTTACTCGGTGATGGTATGCAGATCAGATGTGAACAGAGATCATCAAATACTACAGCCGATGGAATAAACGCAGCATTGAACGCATGCTTCAAAATAACTCAATAGGTGCTACTTCGCCTCGCAGTCTGAGCGGGTTTTTAACTTGATACTTGAGTCCTTACGGTTATCGATTTATACATCAGTAGTACATATGAATACGTCAATAGGAGTCGGGTAGGACCCAGTTCTTGGATGTGTGCACAATATTCATCTTCGTTTATTTTTTGAAGGCTCTATGCTGATGTAATGTATTATGTATGCAACTATGCATAGCCTAAAGCCATCTAAATCAATCGTACTGTATAGTGAATACTCAAAACTCGCAGTCTCGTACATATACACAAGAAGGCTATGTATGCTTTCTCTACTAGAGTGAGTAGAGTAGTAGTAGACCAGTTCGATTTGCCTATCAGCAACCAACGCAAAAAATACACTCAAATTCATTGGACACAAAATACGCGGGAAACAAATTTAAAAAAAACAAAGATCATACATTCTTCACAACATATGTTTGTTTAACTTTTTTTTATCACAGTGTGACACTCCCAAAAAAAACTACCTTTTCTCATACTATTGAACTATGTATTGTACTAGCTGCCTAGCTACATGTGCATTTCGAACACCTTATACAACTGATGTACACACATCCATAATACACACTTCAATACGTACTTGCATATATTCGTGCCACAACACATGGTAACAGTAAGAATGACAAAATTTCATCGCGCAACCAAGCCGTGGTGAAGTAAACTACATTTCCAGGTAGGTGCGACAAGCAACTTCATTTGATTTTTACTATCAAT